ACTTATCTACAATTTACTTGTTGATGGACAAACGCGATGAAAAAAATATAAAAGACTACCTCAGATTGATTAGGCCTTCTCGACAAATTTCAAGAGTTTGAATCCTTGAGTTCTCTCACCCAAATCGACATTTTTACCATGAAGCCCTTGAAAGAAAGACCTATGTGATCTTTTATCAGGGAATACATTTTTTTTTTTTCTACACCCCTTTCTTTTGGCAAAAGATAACTTACAATGGTCTTTATTACAATAAGATAAATTTCAAAATAAAATCAACATAACAATAAAACCAATATCTTAACAACTTGATGCCATTGAAACAACTATGCACTAGGTTTGAGATTAAAAGATACGATTGCAAGAAATAAAAAGAAGAAAGTCGGAGATTACTTTAACTGGGCTTATTACACCCCACACCGAGTCACTACCATCCAATGGCACGGGATCAATGATCAACCTTCAATCTCAACCGGAAAAGCAAGTTTAAGCCAAGCCACACCAATAGAACATGAACCCCTTTGATCACAAATTCAAACTCTAAGTGAATTCTCTTAACAACCTTGTTTGAGAGAGATGGATAATCATTTTGCTAAACCTTAAAATCCTTAGCCATAAATCCATAGTTGAGAGATAAGAGAGAGAAGAACTTTATAACTTAAACCCTTAGGTTCTTTCACAATGTGGGAGAGAGAGATCAAAGATGAGAGAGTGGTGTGCGCGTCCTTTGGCTTTCATGAGAGAGAGAAGCTTTTCTTAAGAGAGAGATAATTTCTAAGTGGGACGTATCCTTTTGTGGGATATGAGAGAGAAAGATGGGAATTAGGTACAAGAGATAAGGTGTAGAGATTTTTGGGTAGAGACAATCTATTTTTATAGGCTTTGAATAAGATTAGGGTTTCTTAGGGTTTTCCTCGGCTTGCCTCTTCTTGTGAGATAAATATGAACCATTGATCTTGGGTGACTTGTGGAATGAGAGATTTGAGTCATCCATTCCATAAATGGGCCATCAACATTATGGAAGGTGCATGAACCATTATCTTTCTTTTTTAAACTATATTCGCATCAATAAAAATTAAATAAATTAAATCTAATTAAAATATTGTGCATACCATAAAATAGCACAAGTCTACTCAATCTTTCAACAAAATCTTTCAAAGATATATCAAGTCAATATTTAGTCAATATCTTCCAACCATATGGCCATATGCCATATCACCAAAAAAATAGGAAAAAGAATAAGGGTGGGGCGTGCCACCCAATGGAGGCACTCATGGGCCCCACTTTCTATAAATATGGTGGGCCTATATGCACAATGAACCCTCATGATATTTTTATATATTTAAAATTAATAAAAGGATTTTAGAATATTATTTGAATATTTAAACCATTGTAAAATCAATATCTTTAATTTTATAAATATAAAAAATATAAATAAAATATCCAGGGGTTCATAAAAATTCAAATAATAATCTTAAAATAATTTTTATCATAAAACAAACACAATTAAATTAATTTGATGAGAAAATGATCCATATGGTTTAGGAATCAACAATCATACGGTACTTCACCTTCAACTGTGGACTACAGACCACATTTGTTTTATCAGACCAACCCAATGTTTCCTATGACCCACAGTTAAGCAGGGGTTCATTAGCGGGTCACCAAAGTCTGGCAGATGAGCCAAGAGATCGCAATCCCAGTTTGTAAATTTCAGGTCCTCTCCTAGAGACAAGTCAACGTCACCTAGACCTGATGCAATGACAGCTCTTATGGTGCATAGGGGTATCTCTCGCACATGCATACGCTTCACCCTAAAAGGTGGATTTATGGCTTTCTCGAACGATCTATCGATATGCATGCCGTGTGATGTCACATGGATGAGGCTTTGGCCCACGTCTCTGTAGGCCACCATCACACATAAGGGTTACACAGTCCCTCAGCTCACTCATCCGGGTATATTCTTCGACCTCATTAAGGGCTAACCCATTAGAACTTTTCTCGGTTTGTTCTTTATGCCCAAGTAATATGAGTTTTTTCCAACCGACTAGCCGATATCATCAAGCACAGTCTGGTATCAGCAAATATCGTTTTGCTTAGTATGGTCTACGAGGGACTACACTCCCGCTGAATTGATGTTCCACTATATCATTTCATTTTACAAGCACTCATAAGGCTTTTAAATGCAACATAAACTCAACAGCCTTAGTAAATCCGCCACTGTAATAAAATAAGCAAAATAAGAGGAAAGAGTTTTTTTTTTTTAACTTTAATTAAAGCTTCATTGAGAGAATGAATGAAACACAACATACAAATGAAGATAGAAAATAAAAGGAGAAGAGAGAAAGTGATAGGAGAGAAAAGAAGTAGAAGAAACAGGAAAGAGAAGAGAAGAGAAGAAATGAAAATGATAATAATAAAATCCTCCACATATGCTTACAACTTTTTAGGTAAGGTGGATTGAGGCTTTGATCAAAAAAGAAAGTAATTTTCTCGTCCATGTTCCAGTACCATGGAGATAAATTTTTTGTACCAATCCCAAATAATAGAAATGAAAGGGGAGTGTAGGAACAAATGAGAGTTGGTCTCTGCATCTGCTTACATAGTAAGCAAACATTTGTAATCATCATTCCTGTCTTCCTAAGTTGTTTTACTGATAATGCTCAATCTTGTTCCAATAAATATAAAATGGACTTCACTATCATGGGTGCTTTAATAAACCATACTTTTTTTTTGGCACGTCTGCTATTAATGAATCTATCTAGGATAAAAAAAGAATGCATGTAAGGCTTCCATCAAGGATATGAATTATTCTTCAGTACTTGCATCAACCCTCCGATTAGTAAAATTAATGTTCCAAACAGTTTGATGACCCTCCCCACTAGCTGCGTCTGAAAAAGGGCCATTCTTGAGTACTGCTTTATTATAAAGTTGAAGATGTTGGAGTCTTAGAGGTACTTGAGCCGAACATTTAGAATACCAAAATTTTGTTCTACTGCTACCACCCACCATATTTTGATATTCATTTAAAAAGATTCCTTACAGAGTTACCTTTCCAAACTGTGGATGCCGGGCAATTACAAGTGAGTCTTTGGCAATGAAGCATTTTGCATCTGTACCATATTTCCCAAGGACAATCTGCTGCTCGAGTTGAGTTATCTTGACTAAGTCTCCACCACCACTTTCTCAAAAGAAGTTCATTCATCACGATGAGTTTTCTAAACACCCATCCTTCCGTCAGTTTTAGGCAGGCATACTTTTTCCCATTTGACCAAGCAGAATTTAGTTCCTTCTCCATAATAAGCTCTGCATCATTCTTTCTAAAATATTGATCAGATACATTGGGGCTCTATACGTAGAAAGGTAATAGGTTGGAATGTTGGAGAATGTGGCATTAATCAAAACAATTCTACCTCCCAATGAGAGATACATGCTCTTCCATCCTATCAAGATTGTATTAGAATCTCTGAATAACTGGGTCCCATGCTGACCGAGGGAGTATATATATCATCTGTTAAAGGGAGGCCCAAATATTTGGTTAGTAGTTGATCAACTATGCATTAAGCTAGTAAGCCCAATTTATGAGTTCCATTTCTATACAATTAATCCTCATGATTTTCGTCTTATCCATAGTCACCTGATATAATTTCATGACACTTGAGAAAATGCCACACATTCTGTACTTGTTCTTGATTCGCTGCCATGGTAATGAGAGCATTCTCTGCATACTGTAAGTGTATGATTTTCTTTCCTGTTTCAAAGGTGTTCAAACCTCTGAGGAGGCCTGCATTAGTCACTCAATCAAGCATTAAGCTAAAAGCTTCCCCCACCAAAGTGTACAAAAATGGAGACAAGGGATCACCTTGTCTCAAGCCTCTTGAGACCTTAAAGTTGCCACAAGGCAGAAGTGAGACAGCTCATTATCCACATTCTTCATTTCTCACCAAAAACCATTGATCTCATAATTTCATTAAGGAAATTTCATTAAGGATGGCACTATGAATACTCAACTTCTTAAAGGGGACTTGCAATCGAGCATGGAATATGGGGTTTTGAAGTAAAGACTCTTCTGAAATCTTCCCCCACCCCTGGGATCGCTATCCCTGAGACATTGTTAACCCTTCTTGAATTTGCAATGGCATGTAAAATACTTGATATTGTTTTCGCCTTCCTTTATCCATTTGGATCTAGACCTCTAACACCAAAAATATCTCTTCCCACTAGAGCAAATTCTCGATAATCCCTTTATGATGATCTCTATCTATTTTTTGAATTTTATTAAGATCCCCATTTATTTGCTCCATGTAATTCAGGGTTTCAATATATCTTATTACTGTCTGAATTTGGTTACTGATGTTCCCAAACCTTCCACTTCCCCATGCTTTCAATCTGTGTTTTAAAATTTTCAACTTCTTAGCAATCGCTTGTCTTACCTATGCTTGTATAAATGTGGTTGGCCAAAAATATCTCACTTCATGTGTCAGTAAAAAGAAGAATATGATCAAATGTCCATAATGGCAGTACCAGTATCAAAACTTTTGGAAACAATGCTTCCCAATAATTTGTTATAAGGACTATTGATTTGAGCCATTTGTGGTGCCATTGAGGAATTGTTAGTCCATGAATATGTAGTCCATATTAAAGTATTGGACAATATGAAATAATTGAAATTTGCCATTGGTAGGAGTTTGCAGATACAATTATTTGTTTTTTTAGGGGATCTAGTCTGATTATGGTCTACCGCAACTAGGACCATGAGATAATTTGAGACAACTGCTCATGAAAGCTATCTTTTGTGAAAGGAAAGTATATACTGTATATCCGGTTAATACGGAAGGGGTATATTGTAATCAGTAAATATGGGTAGGGTCGATACAATATCTTGTATTTATGGTAAGTCTGGGTATAGTTTAGGTGCTGTGATTTATTTCTATATTTTCTCATTTGTAATTTGTCTATAAAAGACAAGTTTGTACATTCATACAATTAATGGACACTGAGTCTGTTCAGAGAAACTCGAGACTCTTCACATCTTTTTCATTGATAATATCAGGGCCACAACATTGACTCATAGAGCCCACCATAGTAAAAATAACATAAATAAAGCGACAAGATAATTCAAAACAGGAGCCATTCACAACAAGAGAATCCCAAACTGCAAGAAGTCCACCAGATCTGCCATTACTAGGGGAGAAAAGAAAGTCAAAAGGGCCAATGCCCCAAAAAAGTTCCAAGAAGCGCTACATTAAAGTTTGCTATCTTAGTTTCTTGAAGCAGTAAAATGTGTGGTTTGTGTTTGTGAGTAAGCACCAAACATCTTAACGTCCTTCATTTCATTTGATCACATAGCACACTGACATTCTACAAGAAGGTCTTCATCGTTGTCGAAAGTCCTTACCGCCTCCGGTGACCCCAGACGAGCCAGCTTTCCTCTTCATAAAATCCATGTTATATTCATGAATCCACCCTTGTATGAGTTCTATCTCTTGTCTCCTTTGTTCCACAAGCCACCTTGGATCTTGTCTTGTGGCAAACCGAAAATCCAAATGGTGAGCACCTGTCGTACCAACATTAAGGGAGTAAACAAGACTAAGGAGAGATATAACAGAATAACTAGCAATTTAGCTAAACAATAAGGATGCAATATCTGCTAAATCATTTACAAATTAGCTGCTTTGTGTGTGTGAGAGAGAGAGTCATCTCATGGACTTGCCTTTTTCGGTAACTAGAGCTACAATACTAGATGATATATTCTTCAGCACCCTGCATTTTAAATAAGAGAATGTTGAAATATACGTGCTCTATCCTCTACATTGGAAAGAAAAGGGAATTTTTCATAAAAAATGAGAAAATTATAGAGAAAAAAAGAGCATATTATTAGTCGTTATATTACTTACCCTCCTCTACTCCAAGGATCCACCATGCCATTAGAGAAGATAATATTACTCCCAAATCTTTTCAACACTTCCTCAATGTTCTATTCAAAACGCAAAGCCATCAATTTTGTCAAGAACCAAAATAGAGTTAAAAAACTCGAAAATACAGAAGAAATGAGTAGAAAGTGATAATTAAGAAGCAAAGAGTTGTACATGGCCTCCAAATTCAGTGGTGATCCAGTGAGGTCTAGCTTTGACCCCATATTTCTTCATGCAATCATCTTCAATCTCTTTGTAGCTGAAAGTTGATGGGGGAAACATGCCTTGTTGAGAGCAACTCATGGGCATCACCATCTCAGTGCATGCCTACGTGTATTTTCAGCACCACTTTAATTATTTTTGCAAGGGAAATCGAATTTTATTTTCCTCTAATGTTATTTTTAAAGAAATATATACAATGAGACCATTTACTTTTGATACAGGGAGGTCACAATATTTATTGATGGTAAGATAAAGCCCAAAATAAAATTTTCTCAAATATTGTAACACCATTTCATCTATTGGATTTCACATTACTAAAAGTGATTATGACCTCCTTGTACTAAAAACAAATGGTCTCATGGTATACAATCCCTATTTTGAATCACATGACTTGCATTATTTGCTATGGATATCTATTCATCTCAGGCCATCTTGTGGTTACCATCTTACCCAAACCTTCTTGATCAAAGGCTTTTTGTGAACACTCAAAAGAAGAAAATATCACAGTTATTACATGAAATAAACATTCAAGTGACAAATATCTGTCTTTCCAACGATTCATACATTATAACATTTTGGGTTATGCTCCATTTCTCAAATTGGAATATTATTACTATGATTTGAGTTCCTTGAGAATGCAAGCTATGAAAATCCTATATAGTTATTTCTCCTTTTCTTAAGTCATACTACCATCATAAATACAGTTTTCTATCTCCAAAATGAAGAAAATATTTGGTTCGAAAGGTGGTTTTTTCAAATATGAGAGAGAGAGAAAGAGGGCTACATACTTGCCAATTCCAACCGTGGAGGCCATGAGCATCACTTGCATTCTCCATGTCAAAGCATTTTTTGGTGCTGCTATAGTTGTAATACACACTTGCAGCCGCAAACACCTTAACTAAAGTATCTGTCTCTGATGGCAATCCATCTATATTTCTACACATCTTACCATATACCGATGCAAAATCAATTCTTAGTTATTATCTAGACCTTTTGCACATCTTTAATTCATCAACACACAAATTAGGGATCATTTTTTCATGGGAAATTTATCAAAACACATTTAAAATATCAACTACTTATTATTTCACTCATTTATTTAAAATTTTTAAAATATCAACTATTCTAGGAAGCAAGACATTAAATAGTTCATAAGTTGGATGCTTCTTGATAAACTTCATTTTTTCCACATCATAGAAATATGGGCATTTCAGAAAGATCTAAAAAAAGAAGGGTCTTAAAAAAAAGAGGGATTGTACATTATGAGACTATTTACCTATAATACAAAGAGATCACAATTAAACCTAGTCATCAGATGTGAAATTCACCAGCTTGGAATATGTAATAAATTTCAAAAATTTTCTTTTGGTCTTTGTGTCCAGTCAATGATAAATTCCCAGCCTCCCCATTTGGGATCCAATGGCTAGCAGTAACTGTGACCTCCTTTTTACCATAAAACAAATGGTCTTATTTAATCTTTCCCATTAGAAAAATGAGGAAAGTAGGTTATTATGGCTTTTCAACATGTTGTAGTTTGCTAGTAACATGCCCCCTCCCCTCAATCATTGTTCCTTGACATCTGACAGTTGGGGGAGGTGCTAGCAATATATGGAGAAGCAGTGCTAGCAAGATCGCACCAGGCCAATCAACTGGTGATGGGTGCTTCCAAGTAACTCGGAACCAGGTCGGTTAACAGGTCCGAGTCAGTCAAGTAAATTATAATCGGTCAAAGATCCCAAAAAACAAATTTCAAAAAATATGGAAAATATAGATTTTATATTTATTTTGTTATTACTTATAATTATCTTTTAAAAATTAGAATTAAAACCACTTGTTATATAAATTAATGGAAAAATCTAGTGTATGCCCACTAGCCTACCGCTACATATGAGCTCAACGGCCTAGATTGAATTTGGGTCGATCCAATAATCACGATTTTATTCGTATTTGAATTTTAATATTTTTCTATAAATCCAAAACATTTGAAATTTTGAGCATGTATTATTTTAAAATAGAATAATCTAATAAAAATATCAAAAAACAATTTGCAAAAAATATGTTGGCCAAAATACCCCTAAAATATTTCAGGGGTATTTTGGTCAATTTATATTTTACGAATATTTTTTTAATATTTTTATTAGATATGCCATGATGAGCAGAATAGATGCCTAAAATATCATATGATTTGAATTTGAAAAAATAAAATAAAATAAAAATATGAAATACAATTGTGATCATTGGATCGGCCCAGATTGAATCTGGGCTATTGGGTTCATATGGAGTTGTAGGCTAGTGGGCCTACGCAAGCTTTTTCCTAAATTAATATATGAAGACTATGAAAATATACAACACAATTTAGAATTTGACATACATTAAGTCAATGGAGAGAATTACATAGTGCAACTAATATTGGCTAACAGTAATGAGAGTCGCAAGGGGGCTCGAGGTACTCTTGTGTCTCGCTATCAGGGTTGACAAAGTTCACTGTGCCAAAAATCTGGTAAGCCCTAGTGGAGTTTGTAGTTCTTTAGTTGTTCCTCCTCGCCAGTAAAAAATATTTCCCTTGGTACCCCCTTGGCCAAAGTCTTATAGACTCGTCTAGCCTTCGTAGTCTCCCCCACCCTAGTCTATGTTATGACCTTCAGTAGCTTCGACATTGTCTTCATCCCCAACAACTTGGTTATGGTGTCGATTACAACTTCGCCTCTCCCTTGTCAAGTAGCTGCTACCCCTCGATGTTTGGACTTTCTTCCGAACCAATCTCAGTGCATCATATACCTCTACATAGGCCATTGTATTATGTTGTGCCCTTCACAATCCTTTACGACTGGCTCTTGCCAATCATTTTCATTGCCCCATCTATCTCCTTGTCATCTTGATCTTGATCTTCATCCTCAGCATACTCCTCATCATTGGTGTCCATGTCCTCTGTCATGTCTCCTTCATTGGGTACTGCAACATCCTCATTATCTTTCATATCAACAGCTATCCCATAAGGAAATCATGGTATAATATTGTGGTCCTTTGTGATACCCACTCATCGGTCAGGTCCTTTCAAAAGGTGTAATCAAAGTTGATGAGTGTGTAGTCTGTGGGGGTCTTCTTTATGTGTCGCTCTCTCAATTTCAAGTTATATTATATGTACACTAGGTTGTGCATCGTCTGAGTCTTTAACTTATTTCTACTAGGAGCATGTATCCACTAGAATATACTCCAGTTTCTCTCAAACCTCGAGGAAGCACAAGTTTGACTCAGTACTCTTACTGCAATTTTTCGTAACTACTTCGTTCGAATTTCGTGTAGCATGCACTATTGTGCTAACATAAACAAACATACCAATACTTAACAATAAAAAAGTTAATAAATTTAAAAAACCCACAAATAGTAGTGTATTAAACTGTTATAAGTAACTCGGGTGCAATTTTGCAATTGCTTTTTTAGCATTTTATGAAAATTCACCACGATTTTCCATTTACATAATAACTTATAAGGAACAAGAGGCGTATACCAAAAATTAGTACAACCTAGTAATGCAATTCGTTATTCTGAATTAAAACTTCTATTACAGACATGTATAGTGAAAGGTTTTACTTTAGACATACACTCCATCTGAGTATCATGATCAGGCTCAAGCCTACAGATGCAGTTCATAGCCCCCTACATTATATCCAAATCATCTAACATAGCATTGGAGTACAAATTTTGTGGGTTAAGAGAAAACTCTGCAAATGGTTTATCACAGTATTAATTACGCCAAATTTACTCAGAGTTGAGATAGAAAAATAAGTTGGGGCGATGAATTATAAATTAACTGTCGCATAGATATCACAATGAAATTGGTGGCTCCACCTACAATTGATGATCGCCAAAATCTCATCAATCGAGATGTTATTTCGAATTAGGGCTTCCCTTGCATGTATCATTGTATCGAATAAGAAACTCATTGTTGGCTTATCATTAGAGTCAATTAACCTCAACACCTACACTGGAGGTTCAATTATAGAAATAACATGGTTGCATCGAGCCTAGAAACTCTAATTGATAATGATTCTTTCAAGCTCCCTTCCATGTTGACTCATTGCTTCTCTATCAGACTGTCAATCGTTAATATGTATCATTGATATCAATCATGCCTTGTTGCATAATATTGATTGTATAGTAAGGAACGTCATGGTAAATCTAATAGTAGATTTCCTCACAATCTCTCACCTACATTGTTCCTTCACTAAAATGTGCAAGTACATGTGAATGTATATGAATCTTATAATTATCTTGCATTTCAAAATAGACTTTTGACCCACTTCAGCTTTCCTATAGATTTAAGCATCAAATTAATACAGTGGGCAGCGCAGGAAGTTTAATAAAGATTATGTCTTTTCTCCATTAGCAACGTCCATGCTTTTTTGTAATTTACAACATTGTAAGTTATTACTTGAACCGCATTTTCAAGTCCAACCTCATCTACAATCTTATACATGTGTATGAATAATAGTCTTGTAGTCCTTTTTTTATTAGATATGTCAATACTATAATTGTAAACAATGCCCTTAGTAAAAATTATTAAAAAATTAACAATATGTATGGGACCTTGTCCTTCCAACCATTTATCATGATGGACACTCCAATACATGGCTTGCAGACCTTGAACTGAGCAATATGCCTATCTGCATCATCAACAACATCTTCTAAACATGGCCGTACAAGGTCCTTCACGGTTGAGGCTTTGAAACCCAGCCCTGCATTATTATAGTAAATACCATCTGTGGGTAGTTGTCCGAGTTTAATGCATTAAATAACAAGCCATTAGCATACCAAAACATGTTGTTAATCTTTCGATCCCTTTCCACGAATTTCCCTCCAAATATGATTAGCATGATCTTGTATGCTAATGTCTTGTCATTTAATTCTGCAAACTCAGACTACTACTCGCAGGTGGTATTTGCTAGTGTTGATGTAGGGCCACGTTTCAAAGCCCCACCTGCAAATGACCTTGCAGGGCTATGTTTAGAAAATGTTGTTGATGATGTAGATAGACATATTATGCAGTTTAAGGTCTACTGGTCAAGTATTAGAGTGTTAATCATGACAAATGGTTGGAAGGAAAAGGCTCATAAACATCTAGCTATTAAATAAGCTCCCATAGGGACATTGTTTACCACTCTAGCACTGACCTATCTAATAAAAAAATGACTACAAGACTGTTATGCACACACATGGACAAGAATGTAGATTAGGTTGGAGCTGAAAATGTGGTCCAAATAATGATTGAAGTTGCTACAAATTAAAGAAAAGTAGAGAAGTTGCTAATGGAGAAAAGACCCAATCTTTATTAGACTCCCTATGCTGCCCATTGTATTAATTTGATGCTTAAAAACATAAGAAAGCTGAGAAGGGTCAAAATTTGTATTTTGAGAAGTAAGATAATTACAAGATTTATTTACAGTCACACGTACGTCCACGCTTTAATGAAAGAACATTGTAAATGAGAGATTGTTAGGGAGTCCACTAATAGGTTCGCCATGACGTTCTTTATTATACAATCAATGTTACGGAACAAGGCAAGATTGAGGTCAATGATACACATCGATGAGTGGCATCTGATAGAGAAGCATGACTCAACGTGGAAAGGAGGTTGAAAGCATTCTTATCGACTGGAGGTTCTGGAGCGATGCAACCATGTTATTTCCATAACTGAACTTCTAATGCAAGTATTGAGGTTAGTTGACTCTGATGATGAACTAGCAATATATTTTTTGTTCGAGGCAATGACACGCGTAAGGAAAGCCATAATTCAGAATAACATATGAACTAATGAGATTTTGCCGATCGACGATCTAGGTGGAGACAACAACTGCATTCTGATATCCATGCAGCAATTAATTTATGATACATCATCGCAATTTATTTTTTCTCTCAATGGTCGCTCCAAAATGTGTTAGGAAGAAATATGATTAAAGATGTTATGACTCCATATCAGGGAAATAACCAGAGCACTAATACAAACAAGGCCAAATTCACCCTTGAGTTTTATATTATGGAAACAACATGGTTTTTACATATATACCGGGTACCTGAGGAGTTCCAGGGACTTATAATCCCTGCTACAGGTTACATCAACCTTTTATATGGGGTTGAACACCCAAGATTTGGGTCTTGAAGCTTATACACTCACAATTCTAAAATGACACTTATACAAAGAAGTGGAAAAAAATCAATATCAAGGGCGTATACTTGGTTATGTGCAAGGGTATTGTCCACGAATTACCTCCTTCTTGAGCTGATACTTCAAGTCGGGATCAACAACTTTTCTCTCTCTCCATATGATATCTACACCACAAATTAAAAGATGGTGATATCAAAGCCTATCTCTTGACTGTCAGTGCAATGAGTAGTCACTCTTCATATCTCTCTATCACGTTAAAAAATAGAAATAGTAATGGGTGCATATTGATTTCATCCTCTCCACTCTCTCACTTGAGAAACGAGTTTATATAGGCTTCCTAAATTGATAAGGATGAGAATTCATGAAGTATATCCAAATCGTTGACCATATTCATCTATCTCTTATAATATGTTTTTAAAAAATAAGCTTGTATCTTTATTCAAATTTGAAAGCACTTCCAGATGCCCTTAATAATAATTGTCTTGATCTTGATCTTGTCTTGATGTGATATTGTCTTGATGTTTGAATTTGAAACTACAACTGCCAATATTCAGCATAATATGCCATGAGAACATCAAGGAAAGTGGTCATTCATTATCCCTTGTCAGTCAGTCTGCAAAACAACATTGATATTTTTGAATATTTCCACTGCCACTTTCTGATGACTTTCACCAAGAATTTTGATAGGTGGTAAAGGACTCAAAGACGAACATAATGATTCATACCTCACCTCAAATGGATCATAGACGAGAGAGATATGGTCCGTCGGAGTGAACTCATTTATGCTGTAGATTATGACAATAGATATGAGGATTACAGGAGCAACGGCTTCCACCATAAGGGGTTATGGACCTTGAAAATATGATAATTTTGTAGAGCGGACTATGACACACATCTCTACAAAATTTGGGCTCAAGATTTTCTATATATTAGGAAAAATCTTCCATTGACGGTAAAACTTCTACATGGTTTTCATGGTTACTGTTGCATAGCATGTCGTTTTCTCATGAGAGAATGAAGGGGTGCAGCACTTATGTGGCCGATTTGGCATTGAGTCAGGAATCCAATGGTCCATGTCTCATGAGAAAACTCTTTATAGATTGAGAGGATCTCGAAATTAATAACTAGAGGTCATCCTAGCTATCTGTATGGCAGACGACGCATAAGAATCTGGCTGCCAATGAATACAGCTTATGGGTTAAGATATCTCCAAATGACTTGAAACTTTGGGATGAGGGATATTATGCCTCAAGTATGATTTTTCAAGAGTTTCAGACCAATCTCCAAAATATGAAGTTCGGGTTTGTCGGTCAAGGCATATCTTGATTGCTGGTGAATATGAATGACGAACCAAATGATGTCCAATTTGTATGATCCTTGGACTAAAGGCATATGAGGCCTCATTAGATATATTTATAAGGATACACCTCATTTTGATATTATATGATGATGTTTCCTTATGCTCTGTCTATCAAATAGTATAATTTTGGCAAACGACGGATTCAAAAACATATCATACCGCATCAAACTCTTCCAATGTTGTATGGAGAGGTGTATCATGGCCTCAGGGATATATGTCCCAGAGCTTGTCTCAAATTACGATAGCTTGTGGTCTTTTTTATGATCGGTCGTTAGTCAAGATGCACATATTTGACCGACAACGGATTTGAAAGTTCATCGTACCGTATCAAACTGCTCCGATATCATGTGAAGAGACGTATTGTAGCATCGAGAGTATATGTTCCAAAGCTTGTTTCAAATTGAGATGGTTTGATACCTTTTTATGATCGGTCATTAGCCAAAATGTAAAAATTTGACCGATGATAAATTGGAAAGTATATCAACTGTATCTAAACTCCTTTGATATCACCTCCCATATTGTAGCCTCGGAAGTATATGCCCAGAGGTTGTCTCGAATTGAGATGATTTGATACCCTTTTTATAATCGGTTATTAGCCAATATACACATATTTGACCGATGACATATTTGAAGGTGTATCGTACCATATCCAAACTCCTTCGATGTCATGTAGAGAGGCGCATTGTGGCCTCGGGAGCATATGACTCAGAATTTGTCTCGAATTGAGATGGCTTGATACCCCTTGCCATCATAAATCATTAACCAGGATGTATGAGTTGATCAACGACTAGGACTCTTTAGGCATATTAGGGCCTTCACATGACGAGTTACATGTATATCATACTCCATTTATTATATTAGGAGCATGGTTTACAAATACTTTCAAGAATCATATCAATTAAGCTTGTTCAGTAATCCATCATCTTCCAAGATATATTGATATGGCGTCCATTCAATATTTATCGCATGCAGCGCACCGTTAGATGCCCTAACGTATTTCTCTAAGTGCATTTAGTCTCGTATGATGACTAAAACATACACCCAACACCAACTCTTAGTAAATTTTGACATAATTAATATTGTAATAAATCATGTCTATGGTTCCTTTTTAACCCTCACAACTTGTACTCCAATACCATATTAGATGACTCGAATATAATGGAAGGGATCAAGAACTGCATCTACAGGCTTGAGCCTGATCATGATACTCATATGGAGTGTATGACGCAGACATTCAATAGTTATCTCATGCATCACACCCTTAGATGCCCTAATGTATTTCTCTATGTGTATTTAGTCTCGTATGATAACTAAAACATACACCCAACACCAACTCTGAGTAAATTTGACATAATTAATATTGTGATAAACCATGTTCGTGGTTCTTTTTTAACCCACACAACTTGTACTCCAATACGACATTAGATGATTTGAATATAATGGAAGGGATCAGGAACTGCATCTACAAGCTTGAGCCTGATCATGATACTCATATGGAGTGTATGATGCAGGTAAATCTTTACGTGTTTATTAATAAAAGTTTTAATTCGGAATAATGAATTGCATTACTAAGTTGTCTTAATTTTTGGATACGTCTATTGTTCTTTGTAGCTTATTATATTACATGAAAAAATGTGGTGAATTGTCATACAACATTTCTAAAAAAGCAGCTACAAAATTGCACCCAGGTTAGTTATAATTGTTTAGTGCACTATTATTTTTTAAATTCATTATTTTTCTGTTATTATATATTTGCATGTTTGTCTATGTCACTACAATGGTAGACGCTACATGGAATTCGAATGAAGCAATTAAAAAATTGCAGTCATAGTACTGAGTAAAACATGTGCTTCCTTGACATGCAAGAGAAATTGGAGTATATTATAGTGGATACATGCCCTTGGGGGAAATATGTTAAAGACTCAGACGTTGTAGAACCTAGTGCATGTCTACTATAATTTGAAATTGAGTGAGCAACAAATAAGGAAGAATCCCATATACTACAGGCCCATCAACCTCTTTTATGTCTTCTGAAAGGACCTTGCCGTTGAGTGGGTATCACAAAAGACCGCAATATTAGACCAGGATTTTCTTAGGGGACCAGTTGTCGATATGGATGATAATGAAGATGTTGCAGTACCCAATGAAAGAGACATTGCAGAGGACATGGATACCGAGGATGAGAAGCACGTTGAGGACGAAGATGAGGATCATGATGATGATGAGACAAATGGGGCAATAGAAATGCTTGGCAAGAGCCAATCATGGAGAATTGTGAAAAGGCCAATATGATATGGTACCCAATGTAAAAGTAGAAGATGCACTGAGAATGGTTCGGGAGGAAGTCTAGACATCGAGGTGTAGTAGCTATTCGGTAAAGTAGAGATGAAGCTGTAGTAGGCACTGTAACCAAGTTATTGAGGATGATGATGATGACAATGACAAAGCTATTGAGGACCATAACACAAACTATGGTAGGGAAGAGCACGAAGGCAAGACGAGTCTAGGAGACTTTGGATAGGGGGTACCACAGGAAATATTCCTGACTGGCGAGAGGGCACAATTGCGGTACAACAAACTCCACCGAGCTTACTCAAATTTTTGGCACAATGAACCTTGATAGCAAGACACAAGAGTATCATGACCCCCCCTCTCTATTCTCATTACTACTAGCCAGTATTAGTTGCACTTTGTGACTCCCTCCATTGAACTAAGGTATGTAAAATTCTAAATTTTGTTGTATATCTCCCTAGTCTTCATATAGTAATTTATATAAAAATTTGTTTGAATTCTATTTTAAGATAATTGTTGGTAATAACAAAATATACATAATCTATATTTTTCTATTTTTTTATTTATTTTTAGGCTTTTGACCCATTTAAAAAAAAAATTAGAATTACTTGACAAACTCGGACCGGTTAACTGGACCGGTTCCATATTACTCGGAACCGGCCCATGGCCAATTGAACCGGCTGATGTTTCTAACACAAGAGAAGCTAACCGCTAGTACTATGTCCATCGAGAAAAAGGAGTGAATTGGTCACTTATAAACGGATTAAGAAGCAAGACATAAAAGGGAAAATGGCATTACAATAACAACCTTTATCAAAATTTCAATGTAAATATTTATGGGGATTTGTTTGAGGTACCTCATTTATTGGATAAGCGGGTAGAGGCCTCATGAAATTAGCAGGTGTTGGGTAATTTACCATCGCCGTGTAAACAAAAGCCGACCATAACCAGTCTCTCACTGAATACACAGATTTAATATCCCTGTAACACAATATTATATAAAAATAATAAAAAATTAGCAATAAAGGAGAAACATTCCTGCATTCCCCATGATTTCTTTGTGATATATGCATTCATTCACAGACCCATTGAAGGGTATACAAACAACCTTTAACGCGTTCTTATTGAACATGAACTCATACAATGCTAAAAAATTGTTTTATTTTTTATTTTTATTTAAAAATTATGTTTTTCTGAAATTTGATGAGTATATTTAGTTTTAAATTGCACACAACATAATAATAATAATAAAAAAAAAGTTTGAAAAAAAATCGCCAACAATACTCCAAAATGTTTTAAGTTATTCTGGTCAATAAAATATTTTTATTTTTTATTTAATGAGCTGGATAAAGATGCATCTACACACCAACTTTTATATTAATATATTTGTCAAATGAAAATTAAAATAAAAAATAAAGAGTGCGGTTTGTATAGAGCCGAGGCTCTAGACAATCTGAGTAAAGCACACTTTCAAATGGTGTTCATAAATGTGGTTTCAATACTAGAAATCTTTTTGATAGCCATAAAATATATTATATCTTTAATTATAACATTTAAAGTTTCAAAAATAGTGTTGATCAAGCAAATATATGGAAACTTTTAAAATCTTGAAAATTGACAGTTCAAAAATTCGTTACAAGATGCACTATTTCAAATTTGAAATCCATTTTTTCTCATGTCCATGCATCCTGATCTCGAGATAATCAATTTGAGCATCAAAAAGACCTATTCTAAAAAAACTTTTGTGGTATAATTTGATTGTTTAGAGCCTCGGCTCTGTACAAACTTTTCCCAAAAATAAAACTCACATACGCCTCCTTGTACAATGCGGAGCCATGGAAGGGTGCTTCTGTACCGCTCCCCATCCACAATGATGTGGACAGGATACTTTCCCTATTTCTTTTTCTGACGAAAAGGGCGAAGTGAGAAGTTAAAATGTGGCAAGCAATGTTATGGAACCCGGTTGAGTTCATTCGGACTGGACTGAGTTACGCAGGTCAAGTAGCCCATGTAAAAAAACTAAAAAACCTCAAAAATAGTAAAAAAAGAAAGAAAGAGAATGCTGTGTAATTTTTTTTTATACTTTGGAAGTGTTTGAAAAAGATTGATGAGTGTTTTTTGCCATAATGCCTATTTTAATTTTTTTAATTTTTTTATTTATTAAAATGTTTTAAACTATAAAACAAGTTTTTTTAGATCTATTTTTTTAAAAAATGGTTATTTGAAATTTTTAAGGATTGATTTTGTTTTTATTTTAATTTTATTGTATTTATTTATTTTTTATATTTTTAAAATATTTTAACTTTTAGAGTTTTTTTGTGTTGTAAATGACCCTGGAGAGTCACTCAAACTCGCCCAAGTCACCCCAACCAAAGGCCGAGGCTGAGGCAAGCCCTGTAACATTGGTAGCAAGTAAATAATATTTGATCCCTTTAACTTACAAAAATATATATATTGCCAAAATTTTCCAATCAAAAGTGCCAAAATTTTCCAATCAAAAGTGCCATCCAACAATATGTAGTTGTTGCAAAATATTCCAAGAAAAAGTATAGGAAGAGACCATTTACTTGTAGTTCAAATCGGGTGATTATAAAAGTGTAATTGACTCGACTCAAAGTTGAAAATAATATTTTCGAATTTTGTAACACACCCTAAGCTACCCAATTTAATATCTAATGGCTAATCACCCTAAGCCACTCAATTTAACATCTTCTTTGTAACATAGATAAATAGTCTCCTATACTTTGTTGCTTTTCCTGTTTGTCATTTTCTGTTCTGACGCAAAAGCAACCTTCATGTGTGCTTATGTATATACTTCAAGGAAAAAGTTTATATAAGTTCCAACTTTACAAAGTGCACCTAAAAACCCACTAGAAGATTGTTGCTATGTTGGAAAACCCTCAAATCGGTTATCTCTACCTCGAGATTCATAGACATGAAAAAAATGGGGATCTTTTATCTTAAAAATAATTCAACTTCTAATATATTATCTGGATCGTCTATTTTCAAGATTTTCAAGTCTTTATAGATCCGCTTGATAGTAACCATTTCTAAAACTTTAAATTTCATAATTGAGGGCGACAATATATTTCCATATCATTACAAGGATTTACTGTATAAAAACTGCTTCTTCAATATAGTTTTGAGGTCCACCTTACTCCAATAGTATAAAGTTGACAAATTATACAAACCTCACTCATACTTAAAAAACAGGCCAAAAAGCAAACGCCATGACGTACACCTAAAAAGCCACAGGTGCCATACATCTCTCATGTACTTAACTTGAAAACCCTATGTTTTTTTGGTCTATTTGCTAGGTACCATTCGATTTCAATTTTACCGTACGGTGCTATATTTTTAAAATTCTAAATGCCCAAATGACAATTTGGGCATTAATCATATGGTGCTGGTGGCTTACGGATGCATCCATAGCTGGAAAGGTAAGGTGCGCTTTCAAATTTTATCATGTGTAAAATATTTTTAGGATTATCTCAAAATTTATATTTATATCTAATTATAAAATTTTAAATTTCAAAAATAGTTAAAATCAAATAGATCTATAAACATATGAAAATCTTGAAAATAGACGGTGTAGATAACATATTGTAAAATGCACTACTTCTGAGGCTTAAAGCCTTTTTATTTTTCATGGTCATATATCTCAATGTTGAGATAATCAATCAAAGGGTTTTTCAACATTAAAGCTACTTTTTCCGATGAATTTTTGAGGTGCGTTCGTAGTTCTACATTATAAGGTTGCATCTTATAGAAACTTTTCCCTTAATCATATCTTGTAAAGGGTTATTTGATTGTTTTAATTTTTATTATCTCATGGCATGATGGTGGTGGTGGTGTTGAAGATGTTATGATGATGGCAATGGGCGTGAGGCATAGTAGTAGTGGAGGTGGTGAACGTAAAATAGTGGTGGTGAAGGCAATAGTAGTGGCTAAGTGGTGGTGAATTGCGTGAGTAGTGGTATGTAGGTGATGATGATGGTTGTACTGCAAGTGGTAGTGCTAGTGTTGTGGTTGCGGTTATGGTTGTGGTCGTGGTCGTGGTCGCAGTCATGGTCGTGGTCGAGATTGTGGTTGTGGTCGTCGTCGTCGTCGTGGTCGCAGTCATGGTCGTGGTCGAGATTGTGGTCGTGGTCGTGGTTGTAGTTGTGGTCATGGTCGGGTGGTGGTGTGGGCGCAAGTGAGAGAAATTGAATTTTTTGAAAAATTGCTCCTTGCGACATTGCTAAAGAAATCTAATTTGGAAGGCGATTCAAATTTTAAAATCAAATACCCCTATGAGGCAAATCGTATTTTTAATCAAATTACTATTTTTCTTGAAGTGTGGTGACTAAGAGTTTGAGGTCCTCTTCTTTGTTGTAATTAATAGGAAAAGTATCCTATCCACATCTTGTCAATAGGTGGAAGCACCCATCTACCAGAGGAGATTTCACAAGGCTGAATCTGACGGCAAAGAATTAGTCTCATTTCTATTTTTTTTTATTTAGATAATATATTTATTTCAATCTTTTGGTGTTGGTATATTTTCATAAATAAAACGAAATAAATTGATTAAAAAATAGTTAAAAAATGATTGAAATACCTCTAAATTTAATTTAATCAATTTTTTTAAAAAATATATTTTTATTATTTTTGTTCAATTCTACATGAAGCTAAATACCAAACTTCATATTGATATCAGTTTTAATAAAGAATAAAAATAAAATGCGAAATTCAATTTTGACTTAATCTGAACTATTCAAAGGTACTTAGTGCACCTTATAAGACCCAATACCAACCCCAATCAATATAGCAAATTGTTAAAAATAAAGAAGAAAACTCACTCGCAAGTCCTGAAAACCCGATTTAGTTTTTGCAACCCTTTTTCTTGAGTGGATATAACTTGCAACTTATCCCAACTTGCCCTTATTACATTAAAGCAATTCAGACTGGCATCCTGCAAAACCCTCAAACCTAGTAACATAAATGGAAATTGTGATGATGATGAATAATAACCAGAACCATAACAATGATAATAACGCTAATGTTCAGAACATTATAAGCTCCATGAGTATTGTTTCCCCTTTCACTTTTGGCTATTTCTCCTTCTCCAATGCTCATCACTATTAGCGAAGGCTCGTTATCATTAATCAATTAGAGGACTTTTCACTATCAAAACAATCTTTTTCTCTACATTTTTTAGGCATGCCTTTTTTCTATAATTTAAAGTTGCAACTTTATATAAACTTTTTCCTTTATAATAACTACATTGATGAGGACATTGACGTAATGGTTGCTTACAATAGTAGTTGTAGGAAGGTAAAATTCTGGTCTCCCCAAATGCAACAAAAGGCAAGTTCATTTGGACTAATTGAATTCAAAACAAATTTAAAACATGAACTCCATGGGCTTAGCTTGACAAACCTTAAAATCCTTTGAAACTCCATCATAGAAGCTAGTCCATGAGGCAATGTCATCAAACTGTAAAATTGGTGCTGATGAGGCCACCGCCCCCATTGCTATATGTGGGTACTTCAATCGGAACCATGCCGCTAACACTGATAACAAAAGATGGGAAATAAGAATCAAATCACTATCATCATTTTGTTTTTGAGATTGTATAGACTATTTACTTTTAGTCACAATCACTTTTAGCTATTGAATGTGAAATCCAAAAGATTGAAGTGTGTCACAGTATTCGAGAAATTTTATTTTGTATCTTGTGCCCCAATCAATGATACTTCCTTAACCATTTAATTTTACATTTAATGGTCAATAATCATTGCGCCCTTCTTGTATTAAAAAAGTAAATAGTATTGATGTAAACATTTCCTTTGCTTTTCTTGTGTATCTTACATGTTTTCTTTTTGCCTTCCATTCTTTGTTCAAGCTCTCAAGGTATAAGCACCAGGTAAAGTATGCTCACGATCCTTATGAACACATAAAATCCATAGACATGGCTATGATAGTTCGAGCAATGGTTGGATGGTGATGCAGAAAACGGTGTCAAAAAACCAGGTAAAATGGTGAGACCCACTATCTCCATCATTGTCAAGCCATTGATTTGGATGGTCACGATCCTCACTGTGGATTTCCCACTCATGTGGAATATAGTTTATGTTCCAAACCATAAATGGCCTTAATGTGATAGAAAAGGTACAATACCGGCATTTTAGATATTGGTGACCCGATCCAGAATCGGGTGATCCAGATTGAGAATCGCCCTGGTCATCCCGGATTTGTAAAAAAACCGGTATTCAAATATTAGTACTAGTAAACTCCTCGTGTTATATCACAGAATCGTTGATTCCGTATAAAACTCGATGAGTCCGACGATCGTGTGTCGAGTCCTACGAAAAAAAGGTTGATCAGTGTTTTTTTGAACCATTATCACGGGATTAGCTTTTTCTTGAATTATTGATGCATTGCAGCTTTCTCAGGCCTTTGTAGGCATTCATTATTGGTTTTAACATTATAAAACAATCAAAATTAGAGGATTGAATCACGAAAATCAAAAGATTCCTGGCAAATCCTATTTCCATCATTCTATCAATTTCCAAATAAATTGTGTCAATTTTTTATTCAAAATTGAAAGGTTTTGAAGGAAATTACATTATTAATAAAACTGTAGATCTTTTTTTCATGATTAAGTAAGTTTTATTTGTCTATTTTTGAAGAAATCAAATCCCCGACCACGATTTCACAGTTTTCCGCCATTCTTTAGATTTCCGACGACAATATGATCAATTTTGATTAAAAACAGAGGGGCTTTGAATAAAATATTATCATTCAAAAGATTGTAGAGTTTGCTTTCATGATTATGCTAGTTTTGGTACTCAATTTTTCAATAAATCTAGGGTTTTTTTTAAGAACAATCGATGGAAAAAACTCCACCAATCTTGGGATTTAAGTCAATATGGGCAAAATGTTTTTTTTGAAATCATAGGGGTTTTGTCCGAAATCATGATATTGAGAAACTATTGTAGCATTCTTGCATAATTAAGTAACAATATTTGATCGATTTCTCAAGAAATCAAAAGTCTGGCACCGTTTTTCTTTTTTTTTGAAGAACAGTCTGCGGTCATTTTTTTTAATTTGATTCAAGTGAAATTCATGTATGCATTTTGATCATGATATTCTTATAAATTAATTTGCTGATTTAAATTAGAAATTTTGATTAATATTTGTTCTTGATTCATACAATATAAGATTACATTTCATTTGATATTCTTGTAATTTGATGCCATGAATTTATGAATTTAATAGGAAAAAACTTGTATTTTTTTTAGTTTATCGTCAATTTTTTTATTGCACTAAAATTTATGTTCTTAAATCTAGATACATAATTAAAATTTCTTTGATACATCAAATGTATGTATATTCATGTTTCTCTTCCTATAAGAATATATTTTGTTTTCTATTTTATTCTAATTATAATCAATGATTCAATTCTATGTCATGAATATATAATTATCATGAAAAAAAAACTTGTATTTTTCAAATTTATCATCAATTTTTTTAATGGACTAAAATGTATGTTCTTAAATCTAGATACATAATTAAAATTTCTTTGATATATCAAATGTAAGTGTGTTCTTATTTCTTTCAGTATAAGAATATATTTTTTTCTATTTTCTTGTAATTATAATCAATGATCAAATTCTATGTCATGAATGTATAATTATCATGTAATAAAAACTTGTATTTTTTAATTTTATTGTCAATTTTTTTAAAGCAACCAAAACGAAACCGCCTTTCGTTTTGGTATTAAGTTGTTTTTTGGTTGTTGTATGTTCCATTTGGACTTTGTATTATATCATTGATTATTATAGATTTTTTTTTTTTTCTGCGATATGAAAGAATGGTTAACACAACAGACAACCAAACATGAAAACAATGGTTCAGACTCTCAATATTCACCTATTTTTTACAAGTTAATGAAAGTGCATAATGCATCACTCCTAAATTCTTTCAGACACTAAAAAACCACAATTTTTAGAGATTTATAGTAATTTTTTTAAAAAAATTGGGACAAAAATTGTTGAACCCACCAATTCTTTGATTCGATCCACCGATTTTTCGATGCGACATGGGTATGGGTGTGACCTATTCAAGTCATCGATCTGTTTTTTAAAACACCAATTCTAACATTCCCCTCAGCTTTACTAATTAAAATCAAACAAATACCCTTTAGTGTGTGTTTTGTCTGAGCGAGTACGCATGCAATTTGTTTTGATAGTATGTGCCATTACCTTTTAATTAAACACAGAAATTATTGGGGCGAGAAAGCCATGGTTCCATTCTCCTTTTTGCCACTTCGTATTGTACAGTGTTTAAAAAAATGGACCGGTGACTCGAATCGGTTACACTCATACTTATGCCAAAATAGAGAATCAGTGGATCGGATTAGATAATCGACGGAATTAACAAATTTTGTCTCAAATTTTTTTAAAAACTAACTATAAATCTCTAAAAATAGTGTTTCTTTAATATCTAAAAGAATTTAAGAGTGGTGCATTATGTACTTTCATTACTTTGTAAAAATATATGAATATTGAGAGTTTGAGTCATTGTTTTCCTCTCTGGATGTCCGTTGTATTAAACATTCATTCATATCATTAAAAAATAGATTCCATAATAATCAAGGACATAAATACAGAGTCCAAATGGAGCATACAACAACCAAAAAATAACTTACTAGCAAAACGAAAGGCGGCTTTATTCCGGTTGCTTTAAAAAAGTTGACAATAAAATGAAAAAATGCAAGTTTTTATTGAATGATAAGTATACATTCATGACATAGAATTGGATCATTTAGTAAAACAATCATTGCTTTTTTATTAAAAATTATTTAAATAGGTACATTTACCATGAAGCATGAGCAAATTTAAAAATTTTTATAAAAGTACAATGGCATTTTGGAAGTTAGTGTCTTGGAACTTTATTTGTAGAGTGCCCTTATCCTTTAGTTAAAAGTTCAATTTTACCCCTTATGGAGATAACAAAAATATTCTTTATCTTGTAGTAATATTTACAATTTTGCCCCACAAAAGTAACTTTTTTTTAAAAATAGAGTACAAAATTAATAAATCCACCATTCACAACTCTCTCTATTTTGAACCTTTGTAATTTGAAGGGTTGTGAAGTTCAGAAAAGATTGTTTTATTGATAGAAAACATTCAAATTGATCATCTTGACCTCAAGATACATTGATATATAAAAAAAAAAGATTTTATCATAAGTATCATGCATCTTGTAACATATTATTTGAACCATCTATTTTAAAAATAATAATTATTTATATATCTGCTCAATCTACACTATTTTTGGAGCATTAAATTTCATAATTAAGGTTGATAATTGATTTGCATGCCGCTGTAAAACTTTCTGGCAACGAAATTGCATCTTTCAACATAGTTTTGCGATGCACCTTACTTTCATTGTTTAAGGTTTATGACTTATACATACCTCACCCAACAAATAAAATATTTCATATAAGTTGGTCAATTTTGGAAAATAAAAGTAAGTCGCTCCTCAACAACCCATCCTTCCAATTGATCACCTCATCCTTGAGATGTGAGATAGGCAAAAAAAAAGGATTTCAAGTTCTAGAAATAATGCATCTAGTAATATATTATCTAGACCATCCGCATTCAAGATTTTCAAGTGTCTAAAGATTTGATCAATCTAAACAATTTTCTGAACTTTGAATTCATAACTAGAGATAGAAATAGATTTTCAGCCAATATTGGGCTTTTAGGAGGGTTTGAAGGTGAGGATTTTTTAAGGCTTGGAAATCCATGTCCACCTATCACTGTGAAATTTACAGCTCTATATAGTGCAAATTGATTAGATCTATAGGCATTTAAAAACCTTGAAAATAAACAATTTATATAATGCGTTATAAGATGTATTATTTTTATAAATTGAAAACCCTATTTTTCATATCCAGAGGTTGGGATGATTGATGGAAGAGTTTCCAGTCCAAACGACCTTGAGGTGCACTTTAGGTTTATAATCCAAGGTTGACGGTTTTTATAAACTTCTATCACTTTAATTTAGCATCATTTCTCTAAAAATAACTATAGGAATATTTGACCTTCAATATTGGGTCTTGGTGGTAGGACCCCTACACCCTAGTTATCTATTCCCACCGATACCACCACAATAACACCTTCTAAAAGATTTATTCTTAAAGTATTTTAAAAATGGATAGGGACCTGTCTTTTCTATTGATCTACCCCAAAAACAAAAAAAAACCAAAACACCTAAAGAAAATATCATCCGTCATTTTCTTTAGGGAAAATATCATCTAGGGAGTCATCGGCCCTTGTAAAATCATTGACTAGGTCAAAACATCCCAACCTAATTTCAAAAAGCATACTTTTTGAATTTTTATTCAATAAGGCACTTCCTCAAAAGGTATAATAAAAAATACCAAGATTGCCCATGTTCAAAGGTGGGTACTCTGAAAAAGTCCAGCAGTTCAGTAATTTAACCCAACCAAGAAGCCTCAACCAAATAATAGGAGCACACCTATATGTTTTGGAGAGTAAAATTACTAAAAATACCAAAATTACTAAAACACCCTTTGTTGTTCAGAATCCCAAACCAGGAACCTTTACTTATTGGTATTTGAACTTTTTTTGAGTGAAATGAAAATTAAAAACTATTTAACTCTTAATAATTTAATTAGAAATTTTGATATCATATTTTACCTTTTTTTTTTGGTGATGAATGGCAACCCAAGAAAAGAGCATCGTGTGAATTTCCATTACATCATTTGATGTATATTTATTACATACCTCTTTGCTCCACAAATTCGTATATTTAATGCATACCTCTTTGCTCCACAAATTCGTAGAAACATACTTAAGCGGGTTGTTATTTTACTTTTCCAAGCACATTTAGAAGAAGAAAAGGAGATAGAAGGGTGGATGGGAAAAGCAGTGATTATTCTCTGAAAAAATTTATTATAAAATGAAGGTCATATTGCCCATATTTTAAAGGAACCTGTATAGAAAACGGATAGTGGTACAGATAGAACAATGCCTACAAATCCCTTTTTTCTTTTAACTTAAATTCTTTTATGATAGTATCTTAAGGATAGACTCACTTTAAGGGTAACAGGAAATCACATACATACACAAAAGAAGAGTATGGATATAAACATATAAAACGACATGTTTAAAGTAAATAGAGAGATTAATGTAAGTATCTTTTTATTTTGTGGTATTTAAAAATGGCTCCAATTTTTTCAATATTATTGGCAAGTTTTGTCTCCTATTTCTTATTTTTCCTCAAAATGCCTTTGGTTCGTAACTCCAACTTCCAAACCGATTTACTTGCATCATGCTTTTGTTGTTATTTCCAAATTCTACTAGGAGTTCTAAACATTCTTTTTTTGAGTAACGACACTATGAGACCTTCCCACATCCATGTGAGTAGGACCACAAAAGATCACGATTAAATTTTGACATAGATCTTTAGAAAAGTTATCACATGGGTGTGGGACTTGGGTGAATGGGTTTATTGATAACTTTTTTAGAGATCTGTGTCAAAATTTAATGATGATCCTTTAGGGTTCTCTTCACATGGGTGTGGGAGGGTCTCATAGTATAATTACTCTTCTTTTTTATTTAATTTTATGCACAAAACTCGAAGTTTCAAACATAAAATGTTTATAACAAAAAAAAAATTATGTTGTGAACATAGGGTTCCATGCGTCCCTTGGAACTCTAAATTCGTAACACAAGTTTTGTAACAAAAATATTACATTCTAGAGTTCTCGACATAAAATAAGAAAATAGTGTTCAGAACTTTGAGTTCCATATATATATATTTTTTTAGTTAAACTCTATGTTTGGAATTCTAAGTTCTGCATATAACTTTTAAAGAAAAAGTTTATTTGGAACTCTTAGTTGGGAAGTAGGAGTTCCAAATTATCCAAACTTAGAGCATTTCGAGAAAACTTAAAAAATTTATATTAGGGTGCTCACACTATAGAGCAGTTTACAATTGTAGTCAACAAATTTTGGACATTTATATACCTTTGTTTGGTAATACAATATTTTTTAATAAATGTATTTTTGGTCATCTAAGAGGGGTGTTACGTCACCCACATAAAGCATTAAATCCCGTAGTGTGCTCCATATGGGTGATGTAACACCCATGTGGATAATTTGATGATCTTTTTAATGATCAAAAGTACCCTTACTACAAAAATATTTTATTATAAAACAATGGTGTATAAGTGTCTAAAATTTGTTGATTACAATTATAAAATGCTCTATAGTATGTACACCCTAATATAACCCAATATAAAAAAGGGAGAAAAAAGATATATATTTGCCTCAAATAAAAAAATTGGAGTATATTTTTAATAGGGTGTGGTTTGTAGAAGGGTGAGGCTCTAAACAAGCAAAGTAAGACACACTTTCAAATGGTGTCGAAAGATGTCATTTCAATATCAAAAACATTTATGATGGCCTGAAAATTTATTTTCTTCTCTAATCATAAAATCTAAGGCTTCAAAAATAGTGTACATCAAACCGATCAATGCACACCTGAAAATCTCAAAAATCTATAGTCTAGATAATGCATTACAAGATGCATTATTTCTAAGATCTAATGTTTATTTTTTCTTCATGTCCATGTATCTAAAGGTCAAGACGATCAGATTTGAGGGCTTTTCAACATCGAAACAACTTCACATGAATTTTTTAGGTGCGCCTTAGTTTGACTGTTTGGGGCCTCAACCGTATATAAACTTTTTCCTTTTAAATAACAAAAATATATTTCCGCTAATTTCTCATGTAAGAGAAGAGGTTTATAATCATGGAGTGTGATGTACATTTGACACTTCCACCCACTTTTACTCTGTCCCATGCCCCCACCGTCCTCGTACCCAATGAGACGCTCAATTCCAAAATTTGATACAATGATTTGTAATTTGAAGCGGCGCTTCGTGACTCCCCTATTTCAAGTTAATATCTGACCCGCCCTGTGAGCGCGTCCGAGTAGGGGCCGAGTTCCAAAGCAACTCACCCCACCCTATAAATGTATTAAAATACAAAATTTTTGAAAATATATAAAAAATTGGAAAACACCATTATGTTTATTAGAAATAAGCTTTTATAAGATTTTGGTAGTTTTTAAAAAGATTTGACAACTTCTATATAGTTTTTTTCTTTATGTTCCCTAAAATATTAGAAATCTAAGTAAAAATTTTCAATTATCAGTATCTTGTGGATCTTCTTAATTTTTTTAGTCTTCTAATACTTGCTATTGCCTTGTTTTCTTATTTCAACTGTTTTAAAAAAATTTGTCCTTTTTTTTTTTTTGTAGCAAATTCAAAAGGAGTAGCAATGGAAGAAATTTAAGAGAAATAATTATGTTGTTATTAGTAGATGCAGGAAAAAAAAGACTTACTCCCACCATAAGAGCCACCAAAGACCACAACAGGGCAAGCCTGAGCAGAGAGATTTTGTTTGAGACTTGTGATGAGAGTTGCATAATCAGCTAATGCTTGCTGAGAGGTTAAATACCCCAATGTTGTTGCAGACTTGTATGCCCCTTTCCCAAAAGGCATGGATTCTCCATAAAACCTATGCTGTCAATTGCGAAGGATTTCTTTTAGATTGATACCCAACTTCAGAGGAATTCAATATCAGAGAGAGAGAGAATCAAACCATTGTAGACAGGGGAAAGAATCAAAGGAATGAGAATCGAAAAGGTTTACAAAGTAAAATTTGAATAAGTCCCTGTCTGCAAATGTTCCAAAAGAACGGAAAAAGCATGTATTTTGTCTGGCTGTTAAATTTATTGATTTTCATAAGATAGACCAATGTTGAATACTTCGAAATTGATCACCTCTATGAACACCAGGAGTGCTCGAAACTTGGGAGCGATGTCGAGCAAGAAGCCGGTGTTGGCTGCAAACCATTCGATGTCTCCTTCGTTGCCCGTGTAAACAAAGATTGGAGCTCTCTTCTTAGGTCCATCCCAGTACTCAGAGTTTAAGAGGTACTTTTGGTAGAAAATCTTGGAGCTTTGAGGTGTGAATGTGAAATGATCTAATATTTGAGGGAAGAAATGGGGTTTGTAGTCGCTTTTGTTATCTGGGTTTTGTTGCAGACAGAGTGACTGAAGAGATGGGAATGTTGGTTTAAGTGCATTTGCACTGGTTATTGTTGATAACAAGAAGTAGAGGAAGTAGAAGAGAGATGGAGGCATCTCTGGTTTCCACAAGTATTGTATGAAGTGAAACAGTGGTGTTCTGGTACTGTGAGAATGAGATATTGGTCTCTCTCCTTCTTTCCCTATTTTTTTCTTCCTTTTTCTTGTCTGGTATATGCAGTTGAGGATATGGGGTATGGATGGGAAGGATATTTATGCTTGTTTTCTTCTTAGTTACCATGAAAGCAATGAGTGTTATATGCAGTTGAGGATTTGGTTTGTGGATGGCAAGATATTTATCCTTGTTTTCTTCTTAATTCTATGAAAGTAATGAGTGTAGTCTCCTCTCTCTCTCTCTCTATTATTCTCTCTAGTGTCATTTTGGATCATAAGTTTTGTTTTGTTTTTTTTTTCTTTTTTATTATACTGACCAAATTTGAAGTGTTAGTTTGTCTCTCTTATTGAATTAGTGTGAAACTTGTCGACTGCTCTGATTACGGCCATCCTTTTGTGGGTCATTAGTTTAGTTTATTATTCTTGAACCAATCATTAGTGTAAGCACATATTTTCTCTTATTTGTTATCCCTTTTCAGTAAAGAGAATAAATTGACCGCCATATAAAAGGTGCAAGAGGGATAAAGATTGTGCTTTTTTTCTTTGAGGTAGAAAGGTAGTGTGCTTAACCATTTTCTGTCTTTCTATTCTCTCTCTAACGCTTTCTTCTAGCCCTTCTGAACCCTTCTCTACTTTATTTCTTTCGTTTTTCTTTTGCCAGTGAATCAGGGGTGATGACAAGCCCCTACTCGTAAAGGGGTGTAGCACAGGTTACTACAGTTGCTCAAGCACTCTAAACTTTAGAGTTCTTATGAGATTCAATTTATTATTGCTGGTGTGGCCGCAGTTTGTCATATCTTGTTGGATGATGAAAATTGCTAATCGTGTGGTTATCATTCTCCATCCACATGATGTAGGCCATTAACCACGAATTGAATTATTGAATCATCATTACCTGGAATAATTAACTCATTTTCCTTCTTAAGTGTTATTCCTAATAGGAACAGTCACTTTCTGGTAGATAGGTTATAGTTATATTCCATTTTATTTAGAAATTTTTAGGTAGAGTATGTACATTAATAGCATTGATTTAATTAACTTTGTCTACATTTTGAAACAATATTTGAAATGGCATCTCACCACATAGTCAACAGTCTTAGGATGTTTTTCTTTCTAGAATCTAGATTTCTTATTTTCTCCTTTCTTTTTGTTGAGTTTCACCCCTTAATTCACTTTTCTACAATAACTTGATTATAATAATGAAAATGATATATGGTAATGGTGCTAAGTAATAATAACATTTAATAATTCAAGTGAAAATGGGGGACTTCAAACCCCAGCAAGGCGGATTCCTCCTTTCTTATATATGGGGAAAACCTAGAAATTTATCTTCTCTAAATTTGAGGTGATCTTATACCATAGTTTTTTCCTCTCAATAGGAGGTGGTCCTTATGCCATACCAAATAAGGTCCTTTCACATAAAATTTGTGAGCATCGTCCTAAGTTATTACTTCTTAAATCAATGGTAGGTCCAAATATTTCTTGTATTTATTTGATTGCTAAAATTTGTACTAGTTTGTTGCCATCCTAATTGGTTTTATTGAATTTAGTAGTTCCCTCAATAAAACTAGTCATCCACTGCTTTTAATCCCATCCAACGCGTCATTCTCTCTCAACCTACCCCCCCCCCCCCCTCCTCTCTCTTATTAAAACTACTCTATTTTCTCTCTCACCTCCCATTTCATGCACAAACTCTTATTCTAACTATTTGGTGTCACATTGTTGCATTGGTGTACGTATCACAAGGGAGGGTGGCAATTAAAAAAAAAAGAAAAATTAGAATTTGAGAATTTCAGTTCTATCTAGTGGTTTAAAAAACGGATCGGTGTCTTAGATCGGGCACCCCAAAAAGCCATCAGGATCCGTGAATCAGCGTTTCGAATTGAGAATCGGCCGAATCAATCGAATTCGGCTTTAAAAAAATTCAAAAAAATTATTAAAAATTATTATAAATGTTGTTGTTTAGGAATCTAATAAGAAATAATGGTACTACATTAATAACTTTATTTTTTTGAATCAATATACGGTTCTTTCTCTATATGAAGATTCTCATCAAACATTTATTAAAACCTAACTAAATACAATATTATACATTGGAATTAGAATTATTGGTTTGTATTTTATTATTTTATCATCATTTTACTATACAAATAAGAATAAATTTGAAATTTGTCTTATAATATCATTTACTTTAAAAATCTAATCTACAACTATAACAAAAAATAATACATTGCATAATTTTTATTGTAAATAAATTAATAAATAAAATATAAGATTTGATTATCATTATAATTAGTATAATTATTAATTGTAATATTATAATAAATGTGTTTAAAAAAACAAGGGTATGACCCTCACAAATAAATAAATCAAATATATAATAATTAGTATTGATAGAAATATAGAATTTAGTAACATAAATGTGCAATCATATTTTAATAAAATTAGAAAAATAAATAAAAAAATTCATATTTGCAGTGTGGGATAATTTATAAAGCAACTTGAAATAAATTCTAAAGTGGTATAAGCTAGTATTATTTCTCTCTCTTAAAATATATCATAAACTAGTATTTTTTTAATGTTCAATAAATCAGTATTTGTATTATTTTTTTGTTTTTTTAATATCCTATGAGCTAGTACAACAATTTCATATAATTATGTTAATTTTTGTAAATTATTATATAGCTTTTTTTTTTTGGAAATTATTATATAGAATTTTATTTTTGTAATTATATGTAATTAAAATATATTTACTTTACGTTTGCATATTATTAAAAAAGAAATAAATATTATTAATCTTAAAAATAAATAGATATAATTTATCTTAAAATAAATTATAGACCATGTCATTTTATAGATGTCCTTGTATAAGAGAGAAATATCTATTTATAGAGCATTTAATTTATAATGTACGATAAACAGGTGGCTCACCTCTCTTATTGATGGCCCACCATCCTTACCAAATAGTATTAATTTATATGCTCATTCAATACAACAACCCCACAATTTTTTGGATTGAGCTATGAGAATTTGTCCCACATTAAAGAGATGCGGGACAAAAGACATAAAATGCGTTGCTACAATAGCAATACCAATTAGTTCCTACGCAAGCAAATGGTTGGGGGGAATTTTTTGAAAAGTTTTAACAAAAAAAATGACGACATCATGTGATGTTCGCATGGCTTGGTGGGAATTTCGAAAAAATATTTAATAAAAAAAAAAAAGACGATGTCACATGACATAATTACGGCGATTTATCAGCTAAATCTCATTTTTTTTTGGATCCGAGATAGGCGATAAGCAGAATTCCATTTTTTCTTTGGATACAGGATGGGCGATATCCGGTCCGTATCAGCTGAATCTCATTTTTTTTTGGATTCGAGACGGCGCCCAATTGGACCGATTTTTGTTCCATCCATTCTTTTACTTTTATTTTATTTCTTTAAATTTGAAAAAAAAAGTGAAAAAAGAAGGCCACTTATTTGGAACACTCGTGAAGATGCTGACCTTGGTCAGTTGGTTAGCCAAAACTGGGGTCTGCCCAAAGCTTGAGGGTCAGAGTCCATACTGATGAGACAAATATAAAGAGACAAACGATCATGGATCAATGTCCATTATTATCCCATATGCTTTCTTATTTTCCCTCTCCTCACTCTACATAGTTGTAGCTTTCTCTCTCCTCTCTCCACACATTTGTACCCCAAAGTATCCTACTTTGAGAAAGTGGGCCACGCACATGACATCTTCTTTGGCCTTTTTTTGGTTCATTATGCCCCTGTTTCAATTGGATAATTCTCGATTTCCTTTTCATGTTATATTTGCAAGAGATTTTTTTCTTTAGTTTCCGTTTCTGTTGTTTTATCTCTTGGAAAATTACTAGGCCTGGTAATAGGCTGCCTGGGGCTGCCAACGGGCCAGGTTCGGGCAGGGCCAGCCTGGTAGGCCGAAGCCCAAAAATCTAGTTTCATTCCGGTCCAATGAGACTCTAGACGAGCCAAGATGGGCTCCACATATATCTAAAAAGATAGGGAAAATATCAATTAAGGGATTAAAACTCCTTATAAAATTATTGAAATGATCACAAATTATATTTGAGAGTTTACTTTTAAATTTCTATTTCAATCAGTTACATCCTAAAACACGTATTAAATAGTTCTTAAATTGCACATGTTAAAGTGTTAAGAAGATTGGACAATTAGGGCACTTTGGTGATTTTACCTCCAAAGTGGAATTAACAGAATAACAAAAGTACCCCTACTTGTTCAAAAGTAGAAATAATAAATAACTTATTCAGTATTTGAATGGAGGAACAATAAAAGGTATTTCACCATTTATTTATGTAAATATCCCTCATTTTTCCTCATTTCAAATGGGGAACAAGCTATTTGTTTTTTTTAACCTTAAACAAACATGGGTATTTCGTCGTTCTGTTAAGGCCATTTTGGGGGAAAGTTACCAAAGTGCTTTCAATTATTCAATCTTCCCAACATCAAATAGACGCAATTGGTAAGTTTTTAATTCTTTATTTAAAAAGTACCTAATTGAAATAAAAATATGAGAAAGTATCAAAAGGGATTGAAACTCGTTCCATTATCACTAAAGGGGTTAAAAGATACATATTACACTTAAAGATATGCTTAGATATTTCTATATTAATAAGGTACTTCCTTACAAAAAATTGTTGAAATTTTTTCCAATTGCCCCTATTTAGTGTTGGCAAGGAATAATTAAGAGTACTTTGATAACTTTACCCAAAAGGAGGCTTTAATTGAATGACAAAAGTACCTCTTTGAGGGTAAAATTATGAAAGTACTTGGAATTGTTCTTGGTTCCCAATGTTGTAGACAAAAAGTAAACCCCCAAATGTAATCATTTGATCCTCTTATTGATTTGGAAGGGGTTTCAATCACTTAATTGATATTTTTTTCAAAAAATATGCTTTATTATTGACTATCCAGCTCTAATTCTGTTTGTAACAGTTTTTATCAATCTCTCCATTTTGCTGAATTATCGATCAAAAATATTTAAAGTGAGCTCTTTTTGGAATTTTTTTGCCGTCAATCTAAATTATTTTTGGAATTTTTTTGCCGTCAATCTAACTTTATGTTGATGTTATTTCGAGTCTCGTCAATCAAATTCCCAAACCAAAAACCCCTAAACTGGCCCGAATCCGTT